GAGTGAGAGCTCTCCTCAAACAGCATGACTTGAATTATCCTTGCAGTATTTACTTCATGGTTTGTTGCGATTCCATGGAGATTAAACAGGTTTGTTGTGATCTTTCAGTCACTCACTCATGTAAATGTCCAGCTGAATGAAGTAACATGTGGATGTTGGTGGGAAACACCGAGGGACAGACAGACGTGCTCTCACAACCTTCTAAACAAAGCCCATTTTTCAATTTAAAGTAGTAATATGCCCAATAATTATTATAATATATCGATTTCATTACAAAATTAAAAAGTCAAAAATATTATAGTATGTAATTTTAACGAAAGAAATATATTATATTTTTCTAACAGTTAAAAGATAGTGCTCGTCATGAAGAACGTATTTCGTGTAAACAAATCTGTTTACATAAGTTGTACATGTCACTATTGGTTCCAAATTGAATATGATATGGTGCACATTATGTTTTAATTTGTATTTGCTTTCATAATAGCGTTACATTGAGTTGTGATCATGCTTCCTACAATGCCACACATGACTTGGTTTTTCCTCTTATATTTTTCGCTGGAAACCTGTGCATTGCTACATATCCTCCATATACTTTGCTTGTGTGACATTGCCGCAGACTGTGTACAGTAGAGTGTGTCGGAAATTGAGACCATACTGTCGAAAGTCAACAGAATTGTTTGTCAAGGGCTAGGATCAACTCGATATGCAGTTCTGCACTCAAATCTACCGTTGATGATGCGATGATATTTTGAATGCAATATGGACGCTGTGAAAAGTTGTACCATTAACTTAATGTCTGAGTACACCACTATAATTACTGACAGATTAGTTGAGATTACATATTGTACTAATGTCCAACATTCGAAATTCACATTTTTTATTACATAATCAGGCATCACATATGCATTTAAACTATCCCGAATGAAAATTCGTTTGCACCATTCAAATAAGTTATAGCAGAGGTACATTACTTGGGGTTTGCAACGCGCATAGTACTGTATGGTGATATCATACCAATATCTCATTCAAGTCTCATCTCGTAGATAGCGAGACTGATGCTACGACCTTCTGACATGACATAGGCGGTTTGTATTAAAACAATAAAACATGTATTACCACATTCATAGTGAAAAAATGTAATACATCGAAAATGTACAGAAAATATAGTTATCGTTATCGGTCATCCGTGAGCAGCTATTTTGATCCACCTGGACATCTCAGTATCCTAGTTACCTCGGGCATGCGCATTGTCATTTTTCTGCGTTGGAACGCTTATGCGAGAGCGAGATTGAAACGGGATCTTGGTATCATGTCACCGTAGTTGCAAATCCAAGTAATGTACCTCTGGTTATAGTAATGAATTTGAATTTCTTATGTAAGCAATTGTTAATGCGGGTGTATAACCTTTGGTTTCATTAAAAATATTTGTATTGTCTATTCCAAGGAAAGATTTGGAAAGTTGACATATACCGTTTCATATCTCTAAAATGAATATATTAGAAGATTTTCAGTCCATTACGCTCATTGTTAAGAATTTGGGGGCCACAATTTTCCCACCAAAAATTTTGCACCATTTTGCCTGTTTTCATGAATTTTGTTATAGTGTTGAACAAATAATTTAAATTTTCATATTTTCTATCGGTATTAATCGAGATTTGGAAAAAAACATTTGCACAAGTTTAATGTAATTATTGTATTTTACTAGGTTCAAACATGTATCATTTTTACAACATATAAGATATTTTGTCAGTAGAAGTAAATGCTAATATTTAATGCTTTTGATATGACGAGTCAGCAGTATGTGTACTTCGTTTTACACAGCTGTGTACTTCGTATTACACAATTGATTACATCGCATTACACAGATGTGTACTTTGTATTACTCAGCTTTGTACATTATAACCGCTGATTTAGTATTATTTTTAACATTAGTTCATCGTGTTACCTTACAATTTATAATAAAATTGTATTGTTATTTGTATCTGACTAATTTACAAAATGTAATAGTCCAAATAAATGTGTTTTTGTTGCAACAGTACCACCTCATTAATTTCTGAACAAAGTATTATGTTAAATGTTTGTGTTATCAATCAATAAAAAACATACTAGTAATCTATGCTTCATATAAACCCCCAGGCTATAAAGACCATTTGAATGAAGTCATCTGCGTTGTCAATATTCCCAGGTTGTATACAATTAAGCAGGATCTAGACAGACTAAATATTTTTTGAAGAAAAACAATACACCTGCTCATCTGATTTATTATTTTGTGTGGAACAACATGGTTAATTGATTGCAATGTATATCTCAGTAAGGATCGTTATAGATTTAATGGAAAATTTGAGTAAAATTTTCAATACCTGGAGTAGAATGTAATTTTTAATATTGCTGATACTCTGCCAGGGGAGGGGGCTCTCTGAATTAACTATGGTACTCAAGCTGAAGTAAAAAAGGCGCATAAACGCATAACGTGTTATTTACTTAATTGACGTGTACCCTGTTTAGGGTCGAATATTT